ATGTCCTAATCTTCAATGGGGTTAATTTTAGATGAATGTGAACCGTGACGGGATTCACACGTAGAATTAATCACAATCTCGCTGCTGTAACAGGAGTTAGAATACTTTAGTGACATTCCACTCATAAGAATTGGGGAAAGAATATACATTAATCACTAGGAGTCGTTTATGAGTCATCCCGAACCATTAGTTACTTTTATTATCACTTGAAAACCAAAAATCTATACTCTTTTACTAAGTCTTTTACAAATTCTTTTCTCAACTTTTGAACCATATAAACAACGTTTCCTCGTGTTCGACCCGGTATTTTAACCGCATTTTATTACTACATTGGCACTTGTACACTTGCAAGTTTAAGCCGATCATATAGTAAAACTTACATTGCAATATACTAAAAACTGCATTTGCAGTATTAATAACTTAGTGTTCCCAAAGCATAACCTACAGAGAAAGAAAAAGTTTAATGTTTAACATCAAAGCCAGATGTTAGATTAATGGAAGTTTCTTTATAGGTTAAAATAATAAGAGGTTAATCAGTCATGCCAGTTCACAGGTAAAAAATAATAAGAATTGAAGTAAAAATGCATTATTAATTAATCACCCATTAAATTAAGCTTTTGGATCTCATTAAATCACATCTAGATAAAGTTGTAGTATGTATCATAAAAAAAAAAGCAGTACTTACAATCTTAGTCTTCTCTTATCATAGCTCTGAAAGAATGTTAATGACATCTGACAAGTAGTAATAAATGTAACACCGCCCCCGAGTATTTGTACTGTACCAAATTATGTATTGAACCTCGAGAAATGTATAAAAGCATTTTTTACGTGATTGTAAATTTTTATCATTTCTATTACGTGAATAGTAAAATTCACGTGGGGCCCACACCGGATGTGAGGCCGCCCGATATTATCGAGACCACATATTATATTAATCTTGGACTAGATAATATGGATATGGTGATGGATATCCTAATTGGGCCATGGCAATAGCATAGAGTTGACCGGTTGGTCAAACGGGGCCAAATTATCGGTATCGGCAATTTATCTGATAACAACCCAAAAAGGGAGTCCGGAGATTTCTAAATTAAAGTTGGGGAATCATATTGATTCTAAGGCCCAATAAGGATTGGGAACAAATGTTATATTTTATTTGACCCGATAAAATAAAATATACTTAAAACGGTCCGGAAAATACAACTTTCGGAACCGATTGTACACTCCGGGACACAAAGGGTTGACCTCCCACATAAGTGGGGGCCAACCCACGTTTTTAGTTCTGGGAATGGCCAGAGGAGCCGCACAAGATCAGGGGGGAGCAATCAAGAATTGATTGGGAGACCAATCAACATGAGAGTGGGTCCTTGGCCAAGATATTTTTAGGAGAAATGCCAAAAAGGCATCCTCAATCATACCAACTCCTACAGCTCGGTTAACCTACTCAAAGAAGTGAGAGAAGGTCTGAAATACTCCATTTCCTCATCGTTTCACGCACCAAGAACAAAGGAGGAAGAAGGAGGGGAAAAGAGAAGAGGAAAAGTTGGTTTTGGAGAGGAAAACTTGTGTTTAGCAAGGTAAGGACTCCATTAACCCCATTTCGTTTTCTTTAATCATCTTATATGATTATTCAATCATATTTCACACCCTAGTATTGTTCTACACGTTGGGATGTGTAGAACGAGGGGTTGGAAGGTGGTTCTAAGCCCAAGAATGGACTTAGAAGCCAAAGGGACCGGTTCGCCGGAAAATAACCTTTTGGGGGTTATTTGTACTACTATGGGTTTTATGATGATAAAACCTTGTTAGTAACTTGTCTAAGGTAGTCAAGGAACTTTCACGGAGTTGAAAGAGTCGCCGGAGTTGTCGCCGGAGTTCGTTGAAGTTCGCCGGAGTTTCACGGGAGCTAAATCGGGAAGGCTAGAACTTCATAAGCTTCATTAAGGTGAGAAGACGGCTTTATGCTTTATAACTTTTGCGTGAGGCATGAGATTACCTAAAGTAATAAAGGATATGTTTTGTGGAATGATTAAAGATAATCAAGTATTTGCTTATGCCATGATTTTGCATAAAACATAGTTGAAAAGCATGCATGTTATGTACGTTTGGTGATTAAAAATGTGGTAACATATTTCGTGTGATGATCCAGGGATCCAAAATGGTATTTTTGGATCAAGGACATCAAGAAGTATATGTGTATAAAATTTCAAGTTAATCGGACTCCGTTTGGGGGGTCAAAAGGGACGTTGACCGCTAAGTCAACTGCCATACCCGACCGGGTATTGACACATACCCGACCGGGTATTTGCTGAGAAATTGCCCAGGGGGCTACTGTCTCGTATACCCGATCGAGTATAGGTATATACTCGATCGAGTATACATGGAAAATTAGCTTTGGGGGCTACCGCCTCCTGTACTCGACCGAGTATGGGAAGATACTCGATCGAGTATTGGTTTATGCTCAAAACGGGCAGTTTTGAGCAGGTTAATGTGGGCCGTTCAGGTGGGACCCGCCCACATTGGTTCCTAAGGATGGTTATATGACTATAGGGCTAGGTATTGTCCATAGTTGAAGGAACGAAAGGTTAGCCATATCCAGGTTAGGGTTTGGTGAGGATTTAGTTTGGGGTTGAGTATCCCCGGGACATTAGATGATCCTGAAACTCGGTTGGGGTTGAGCATCCCCGGGACTATAAATGATCCTGAAACTCGGTTGGGGTTGAGCATCCCCGGGACATTAAATGATTCTGAAACTCGGTTGGGGTTGAGCATCCCCGGGACCATACATGATCCTGAAACTCGGTTGGGGTTGAGCATCCCCGGGACTGCAAATGATCCTGAAACTCGGTTAGGGTTGAGCATCCCCGGAACATTTAATGATCCTGAAACTCGGTTGGGGTTGAGTATCCCCGGGATGCTAAGTGCTCCCAAAACTCGGTAGGATATTATGAATGTAGAATGTAGCTGGTGAGCTAGGCATTCGGGAAAAGGGTGAGAAAGGTCAGGTAAGAACTTTATCTCTAAAAGACTCTTTGAATGAAATGACCTACGGGTCGAGTATTTTACATATATATATACAGTATGTATCATCGGATGAATGAGTCACATATATATATATATATATGTATCACCCTATTTTTGGGTCTCGTGTCTGAAACATTAGTTATTCTTCATATAGCCTGCTTGTCACTAGTACTTCTATGGAGTACTGACCCCTCCGGGGGCCCTCACATTTTTCAGGTTGAGGCTAGAGTCCTACTACCTGCACCTTTGCCTAGGGTGATTGATCGAGAAGGAAGACGTGGTTCGTGCTTCCATTCTTATTTCAAATGTATAAACCGCTCATGGATTTTTGAACAATGTTTTCACTAAAACAGTTGGGGCATGCGTGCCCGTGTTTGCCACGTGTGGCTAAGTATCACACATTTTATTATTTCCGCATTTGTTTGATTTTGATATTGATGTTGATTGTATGTGTTTACTAATCGGTTTGGCAATAGAATCAATCGGACGCCTTGTACAACTCAATAGGGATGAACTGTTGTTGTTCTTATCGGGTTGTACGGCGGTTGTCTACGTGGCTCGGATGCGGTCCGGGGCGTGACAATAAAGGCATCAGAATAAAGTCCCTATGCATTTATAATATATAATATATTATAAATATCTGAGAAGTTCCTTGACCTTCTAGCAACCATGCCCTTATCATCAGTTATAAAAGTCACACAAAAATAACAGATGTTGTTATAGCAAATGTTAACCCTTTTTACCAAGACAATATAAGAAGTCACAATTTCAACTTATCACATAGAGTCACAAGAATTAATTAAGTTTGAAATATATATATATATATATATATATATATATATATATATATATATATATATATATATATATATAGTCACGCCCCGGACCGCATCCGAGCCAGGTAAGAAAAGTTCTTACCTGGCTTTTCTCACTCCTTTCCCGGTTACCTAGCTCACAAGCTATAGTCTACCTTCGATTCATACTACCGAGTGTTTTAGGATCATTTACCGTCCAAGGCACTCAACCCATCCTGGAGTATTTAAGATCATTTACCGTCCAAGGGTACTCGGCCTCACCTGGAGTATTCTGGATCATTTACCGTCCAAGGGTACTCGACCCCACCTGGAGTATTCTGGATCATTTACCATCCAAGGGTACTCGACCCCACCTAGAGTATTCTGGATCATTTACCGTCCAAAGGTACTCGACCCCACCTGGAGTATTCTGGATCATTTACCGTCCAAGGGTACTCGACCCCACCTGGAGTATTCTGGATCATTTACCGTCCAAGGGCACTCAATCCCCAGTCTATTCTCTACCAAATCCTAACCTGGATATGGCTAACCTTTCATTCCTTTAACTATGGACAATGCCTAGCCCTATAGTCATATAACAATCCTTAGGATCCAACGTGGGCGGGTCCCACCCGAACGACCCACGTTAACCTACTCAAAACTGCCCGTTTTGAGTATAAACCAATACCCGGTCGGGTATCCAACCTTACCCGGTCGGGTAGGGTGAGGCAGTAGCCCCTGGAACCAACCTTACTTGAGACCCGGTCGGGTCTATACCCATACCCAGTCGGGTCTAGTGTGGCAGTGGCTTCTGGAGCCATTTTTAATCAAAACCCGGTCGGGTATTTACCCATACCCAGTCGGGTATCACCTTCGTCTTGGCGGTCAACGCTCGTTTGACCGCCCAAACGAAGTCCGATTAACGTGAAATTTTATACACTTATACTTCTTGACGTCCTTGATCCAAAAATAACATTTTGGATCTCTGGAACACCACGCATAATAAGTTATCACATTTTTAATCACCAAACCTACATAACATGCTTTTCAACTATGTTTTATGCAAGATCATGGCATAAGCAAATACTTGATTATCTTTAATCATTCCACAAAACATATCCTTGATTACTTTAGGTAATCTCATGCCTTACGCAAAAGTTACAAAGCATAAAGCCGTCTTCTCACCTTAATGAAGCTTATGAAGTTCTAGCCTTCCCGATTTAGCTCCGGCGAAACTCCGGTGAACTTCAACGAACTCCGGCGACAACTCCGGCGACCCTTTCAACTCCGTGAAAGTTCCTCGAATACCTTAGACAAGTTAATAACAAGGTTTTATCATCATAATACCCATAGTAATACAAATAACCTCAAAAAGGTTATTTTCCGGTGAACCGGTCACTTTGGCTTCTAAGTCCATTCTTGGGCTTAGAACCACCTTCCAACCCCTCATTCTACACTTACAAACGTGTAGAACAATCCTAGGGTGTGAAATATGATTGAATAATCATATAAGATGATTAAAGAAAACGAAATGGGGTTAATGGAGTCCTTACCTTGCTAAACACAAGTTTTCCTCTCCAAAACCAACTTTTCTCTTCTCTTTTCCCCTCCTTCTTCCTCCTTTGTCCTTGATGCGTGTATGGATGAGGAAATGGAGTAGTTTCAGAGTTTCTCTCCCTTCCTTGGATGATTGAGCCGAGCATATGGAGTGTGGGGGTGATTGAGAATGCCATTTTGGCATTTCTCACCAAATTATATGGCAAAGGTCCCACCCTCATATTGATTGGTCTCCCAATCACTTTCCTAACCAATTCCCAGCTCCATGATGCGGCTCCCCTCTCAATTTGCAGACCTAAAAACGTGGGTTGGCCCCCACTTATGTGGGAGGTCAACCCTTTGTGTCCCGGAATGTACAATCGGTCCCGAAAGTTGTATTTTCCGGACTCTTTTAAGTATATTTTATTTTATCGGGTCAAATAAAATATAACACTTGTTCCCAATCCTTATTGGACCTTAGAATCAATATGCATTCTCCAACTTTAATTTATAAGTCTCCGGAATCCCTTTTTGGGCTGTTATCTGATAAATTGCCGATACCGATAATTTGGCCCCGTTTGACCAACCGGTCAACTCTATGCCATTGCCCTGGCCCAATTAGGATATCCATCACCATATACATATTATCTAGTCCAAGATTAATATAATATGTGGTCCCGATAATATCGGGCGGCCCCACATCCGGTGTGGGCCCCACGTGAATTTTACTATTCACGTAATAGAACTGATAAAAATTTACAATCACGTAAAAATGCTTTTATACATTTCTCAAGGTTCAATACATAATTTGGTACAGTACGAATACTCGGGGGCGGTGTTACAAGTTCTACCCCCCTTATTTGGGATTTCGTCCCGAAATCCACGCGTCTAGTCAAACAGAAATGGATATTGTTCCCTCATCAGGGTCTCCACTTCCCAAGTTTGCTCCTCGACACGATCACTCTTCCAAAGTACTTTTACCATCGGCACCTCTTTGCTCCTTAGCTTCTTTACCTGTCGGTCCATGATTTTCACCGGCTGCACCGTATAGTGTAGGTCTTCTCGGATTTCCACCGGTGGTTTCTCAAGAATATGTGACGGGTCCCGCACATACTTCTTGAGCATAGAAACATGAAACACATTATGAATCTTCTCTAGCTCCGGAGTCAACTGAAGTCGGTAAGCTACAACCCCAATCCTTTCAAGGATTTTGAACGGACCTATGTAACGTGGGTTAAGCTTACCCCGACTGAGGAACCTGATGATCCCTTTCCAAGGTGATACCCTCAGAAATACCTCGTCACCAACCTCAAACTCCAACGTCCTCCGAGGTTTATCAGCATAGCTCTTCTGCCGGTCTTGGGCAGCCTTGAGCCTATCTTGTATGCTATTTATCTTCTCCTTAGTGATCTCGACTAACTCGGTGCCCTCGAGCTTAGCCTCGCCGACCTCGTCCCAACACAATGGTGTCCGGCATTTCCTCCCATACAATGCTTCGTATGGAGGCATGCCTATACTCGCCTGATAACTATTGTTATAAGCGAATTCCACTAAAGCCAAATGATTGTCCCAGCTCCCTTGGAACTCCAAGGCACATGCCCTTAACATGTCCTCCAAGATCTGAATCACCCGTTCAGATTGCTCATCCGTTTAAGGATGAAACGCGGTGCTAAACCTCAATTTCGTACCCATGGATTCCTGGAACTTAGGCCAAAACCGTGATGTGAACCGTGGGTCTCTATCTGATACTATAGTAACCGGAACCCCATGCAGTCTCACAATCTCATCTATGTACAATTTGGCCAACCGCTCGAGCGTATAGGTAGTGTTGATAGGTAGGAAATGAGCGCTCTTGGTCAGCCTATCGACTACCACCCATACTGCGTCGTAGTTCCTACCCGTCCGTGGTAGACCCACCACGAAGTCCATGGTAACATGCTCCCACTTCCATTCTGGAATGGTAAGTGGTTGTAGTAACCCTGCTGGGTGTTGGTGCTCTGCCTTAACCCGTTGACAAGTAAGGCAACGGCTCACGTATTCTGCAATCTCTCTCTTCATCCCCGACCACCAGTAACTTTCTTTCAAGTCCCGGTACATCTTTGTACCGCCCGGGTGCATGGCATACGCAGATGAGTGAGCCTCCTCAAGGATAGATTTTCGGAGTTCCTCATCCGATGACACACACACTCGTTCCTTGAACAGTAGAAGTCCATCTTCTCTCTCACGGAAACCCTCGACGGGCCCCACAAGCATCCGTTCCCGGATTTTCTGAAATTCCTCGTCATTGCCTTGACATGTTCTGATTTCGTCTAATAAGGTGGGTCTCACCTCAAATCTGGCCAATAGCGCCCCATCCGTGGATACCTCCACGCGTGCCCTCAATGCCCGTAAGCATGTGAGTAAAACCCCCGATGATGAGCTCTTCCTGCTCAATGCATCAGCTACTACATTAGCCTTGCCTGGATGATAGTCAATGATCAAGTTGTAATCCTTAATCAACTACATCCATCTTCTCTGCCTCATGTTCAACTCTTTCTGAGTGAACACATACTTCAAGCTCTTGTGGTCAGTATAGATGTGACACAACTCTCCGTAGCGGTAGTGCCTCCAAATCTTCAATGCAAATACCACAGCACCTAGCTCCAGATCATATGTGGGGTAGTTTACTTCATGCTTCCTCAACTGCCGAGAAGCATAAGCAATTACCTTCCCTGATTGCATCAGTACACATCCCAGTCCCTTAATGCTAGCATCGCTGTAGATGTCATACCCTAACCCTTGCACGAGCAAGGCAAGAACTGGTGCTTCGGTCAAACGTTTCTTTAGCTCAAGAAACCCCTTCTCACACTTGTCATCCCACACAAACTTAGCCCCCTTTTTAGTGAGCTTCGTGAGTGGAGATGCTATCACCGAGAACTTTTCCACGAATTTGCAGTAATACCCCGCTAAACCGAGGAAACTCCTTATCTCCTTCACGTTCTTGGGCCTCTCCCAATTAGTGACCGCCTCAATCTTTGAGTTATCAACTGAAATGCCCGAGCCCGATACCACATGCCCGAGAAAATCGATCTCCCCAAGCCAAAATTCACATTTAGAGAATTTGGCAAAGAGTTGCTTCTCCCGCAGTGTTTCAAGCACAAGCCTTAGATGTTTTTCGTGTTCCTCTTCATTCATGGAGTATATCAAAATGTCATCAATGAACACTATGACGAACTGGTCTAAGTATTGGTGAAATACTCGGTTCATGAGGTCCATGAATGCCGCGGGGGCGTTCGTAAGCCCAAACGACATTACTAGAAACTCATAGTGACCATACCTTGTACGGAATGCACTTTTGGGTATGTCACTCTCCTTGATCTTCAGTTGATGGTAGCCTGACCTCAAGTCAATCCTAGAGAACACGGTTGCCCCCCGTAGTTGATCAAACATGTCATCGATCCTTGGCAAAGGGTATTTATTCTTTATCGTGACCTTGTTCAACTGACGGTAATCGATACACATTCTAGTGTACCATCTTTCTTCTTTACAAAGAGTACCGGTGCTCCCCACGGTGAATGACTCTGCCTGATGAATCCGCTGTCCAGTCATTCTTCCAATTGCACCTTCAACTCTTGAAGTTCAGCCGGTGCCATCCGATATGGAGGAATCGAGATGGGTTTCGTACCGGGTTCCACTTCAATAGTGAACTCAATTTCTCGATCTGGTGGGAGTCCCGGGAGTTCTTCAGGGAAAACTTCTGGGTACTCACTCACCACTCTCACCTCAGTGAGACTCTTTCCCTTGCCTTCCTTGCCTATGACATAGGCCAAGTACGCTTGACACCCTTTCCCCATCATACGCCTTGCTCTTATGGCCGATATGATACAAGGATTGAATTTCCCTCTATCTCCCTCGAAGCATAGAGTATTTCCTTCTCCATCTTTTAGTTCTAACACCTTGGTGTAGCAATCTACCTTCGCATGGTGCTTCTCAAGCCAGTCCATGCCAAGTATGGCATCAAACTCAAGCATGTCTAACGGTACGAAGTCACCCGTTAGACGGTGCTCCCCTATCCCCACATCACATGAAGGATAGTAGTCATTCCGTTCAACTTCATCCCATAGAGGTGTAGATACCAAAAGGGTTTGCGTCATAGGTATTAAAGGTGTGCCTAATCCCATGGCAAACGCCTCACTGACGAATGAACGTTGCGCTCCCGTATCGATAAGGATCCTCGCATCCTTCCCATTAATCTTTAGCGTTCCTACATTTATAAGCCATGTAAGATACTTCTTCTATCCAAAATTGAGTCGTAGGCCCACGAGATACGCCCGTATTCAAGACATACTGCTATACCCGGTCGGGTACATCCCTATACCCATTCGGGTATCCAATCCAGAAGCAATTATCTTGCTCTACCCGGTCTGGTAAGACTGACGGGTACAGGAATCTGGCATACCCGGTCGGGTGACTTACTCTACCCGGTCGGGTCTCTGTTCCAGAAGTGATTCTTCTCCTTTACCCGACCTGTTAGTACCGGCGGGTAGGAAAACTTAGCATACCCGGTCGGGTAACCTACTATACCCGGTCGGGTGTCTGTTCCAGTGGGTTTACCAGGCCAAAATCCCAGCATACCCGGTCGGGTGAGCTACTATACCCGGTCGAGTATCTGTTCCAGTGAGTTTACCAGGCCAAAATCCCAGCATACCCGGTCGGGTGAGCTACTATACCCGGTCGGGTATTAGCTTGGTTTCGTTCAGTTTTCCCGATTCGACTCTAAGTCTGCTCGCAACTGACCCCTAGGGGTTATAACTTTAATACCAGCCTAGAAACATACAAGGTTTAGTGCATTACCTGCAACGGAGTCCGGGTTTGCTCACGCATCCTCCTCGGTCATTGCATACACTCGTGCATGGGTTCTACCTTGGTTAACGGACGCGGCATTGCTAGCCGTGGGTCCGCCCCTTCCGGTGCCGGCCTGAGACGGTCCCGCACGTCCCCTACTAGCCGTAGGTCCTTCAATGGCCCCCGATGGACCGCCTCCATTCAACATTGGGCAAGAGGATTTCAGGTGACTCGTGCTACCACATCTGTAACACCGGGGTGGTTCATTGCACTTCCCCGCATGGTTCTTGCCGCAATTCGCGCACCTCGGTGACCACGTACTCCCTGGTTTGGCCCCTTG